CGCTATATAATTTTTTTCAAATAAAATTTTTTTTTCTATTTAGTTTTTTTTTAACAGTGGTGTGGATGAGTCGGAAGAATATAACTGTTGGCGCTATATAAGTCCTGTATAATAATAATAATAATAGCCAACCTCCAAGCTTGGCCTGGCTGTCATCAGCAGTACTAGCGTATGTGAATGCCAGAGAAGTCCACCTTCTCATGGTGCTTTCATCATGCAGCCTATTAACATTGGCTTTTTTCAGAGTTCATCCAATGAGCGGGGGATACTTGCACTCTTTTATTACTCTTGCTCAGTGTTTGGTTAATTAGACTGGAAAGCTTAGTTGCAACATTTGCCTCCTTGAGGCTAGTAATAACATACTTTTAAGCGGAAATCCTCTTTCACTTTAATAGTTATGAACATGGGCTTGGTTGTACAGAGAATACTGTGCAATAAAGGGCTTAGTGGTCTCTACATTAAACGACTCATTGCACTTTTTGAGTTATTATTGTTATATTAGGCGGACAGTAATTTTTGTTTTAACTTTCACATTTAGACTTGCTTGCTGTGCCATATGTTCCCAATTCTGTTTCATGTACATGTTTGTAGTATATCAGCCATTCCATTCACCATCCCTGCTGATTACCACTGGGAAAAAATCAGTAACTTGATAACATGATATTCTGTTCAGTCACTTGAAGCAGATCTGTCCACTTGAAGCAGTCTAATACACATACTGACAGTAAAGTGCACATACTGTGCAGTGTAGGGCCCCTTTCACACCAGCACCCTCCATTCCGTCTCAGCAGGGGATCCTAGACTGATCTCCTGCTGAGTCGGATCAGAGCGGAAACAGATGTCACATTTGTGTCCATTCTGATCTTTCATCCATCTTATGATGGGGAGAAAAGGGACCCATGTAATCCCTAAGGGATTTAGGATGTGGTGGCCCACGAAGGTTTGAAGAGTTTGGTCGCAGTGGCAGATTATAGACCCATGTGAATGCTTGGGGTGTCCACTGAAAAAAGACAGGAGAGCCCTTCTAGTGTAGTTGTGATTCTACAAGGGTTCTTCAAAAAGTTTCTGCTCTATTATATATAAAAGTGCAGACACTTTTTGAAGACACCTCGTAATGTTGTTATGAGCTCAAAAGAAGTTATTAGTCATGATGGGAAAATATAAAAATTATTTACATCTGTTGAGTTTGTGATAACCCTGTAGGATAAAAACACTCTGTAAAAAAACAAAAAAAACCTTCTGTAGACTTGGGTGGAAAAAAAGCCTGTCCCCATGCAGGATTCACTAGGTTACTCTTGATGCCATGGGAGTCTCAACCCTGGATCCTCTGCAGGGTTCTCAGGTGGGTGTTGAACTAGGTAAGTAGAGGTCATAAGGCCTGTCAGTGGTGCCTGTTGTCGTGTGTCTAATGATGGCTTAAGGCCATCAGGTTTAACAAACATCAAATTACGTTGTTTTACCAAACAACATGTTTTGTGGCTTTAAATTGCCACTGTTTCAGTTCAGGGTGATATACTGATGTTCAACAATTCCCAGTTTTATTGTTTTGCCCAAGTGGGTTTGTGGGCAGCACAGTGGCTAAATGATTAACACTTCCGCCTGGCATTACTAGGGTCATTGGTTCAAATCCCAACCACAGCACTACCTGTCTGCAGTTTGCATGTTCTCCCTGTGCCTGTGTGAGTTTCCTCTGGGTACTCCGGTTTTCCTTCCACACTCCAAAGACATGCTGGGATGATTTCTAAATTGGCCCTAGTATGTGTATGTATGACTGTAAGTTAGGGACCTTAGATTGTACGCCCCTTGAGGGTTAGGGACTGATGTGAATGTACAATATATAGTGCTGTCAATTTATGCAGCGCTTTACATATATAAGTACCTGAAATAAATACCTTGATTTCTGTCTGGACCCACCTGGGCAAATCAACAAAACCAGGAATCGCTGCACATTAGTGCACGGGACCAGTGACAGGCTTTATGATCTCTTCCTACTTACCATATTATCCCTATGGGTGGCTGAATGTAAATGGAAGTGGGTCTGCCTATATTGGTCCAGTCAGTAAAAGTGGATCTGGACACAAAATATTTTGTGTTTGGTCCGACAAACCCGATCCCTTATTATGGGTCAAAAATGGACTTCCAAAAATGTCCATGTGAAAGGAGTCTTACTGCGGTATAAAGTTATCCATACATTGGTAGATTTTCGTACAAAAAAATCTCATCAGTACATTCAGCAGAGACCTGACAAATATCATTTGCTTGTAACAATTGATTTTGGGATGAATATAACTTCCTAAAAGAAAAACATATTCACTGTTAGAATTGCGTTCATTCTAGAAAAATGTTCCATCCTGGTCCTTTGATGTATTTCGTCACCATTGTTGAAAACGATCACTAACTTGACCCATTAACTATATTTGAAAATCAGAGAGAGTGTTCCGATATTTCATTTTTTCAAATTACATTCTACCCATGTATGGGCAGATTAGGCAGAGCCTAGATATACAACAATCATTTTATTATTTCAGGTACTTATATAGTGCCATCAATTTTATGCAGCTCTTTACATATATATTGTACATTCACATCAGTCCCTAACCCTCAAGGGGTTTACAATCTAAAGTCCCTAACTCACATTCATACATACACATACTAGGGCAAGTTTAAACTGGAGCCAATTAACCTACCAGCATGTCCTTGGATTGTGGGAGGAAACCGAACTATCCAGGGGAAACCCAAGCAGGCACAGAGAGAACATGCAAACTCCAGGCAGGTGGTAACATGGCACATGGTCATGTAAAATACACTACAAGGTGTTTAATACATTACCACCAGGGGCGGACTGACCATTTGGAAACTCGGCACTGCCCGAGGGCCCAGGGTCAGTAGGGGGCCCCATGAGATGCCCCTGGTACCTTTTTCATAGGCTTTTTTGAGTTTGGGCAAGGACACAGGGGCCCCATGATCCCCTATTGCCCGGGGCCCCATGAGTTTTTAGTCCGCCCCTGATTACCACTGTGACAGAACCATATGCATTATGCCATAATGTGTATGTCTTAAAACATTCAAAGACTTAACATAATACATTCTTTTCTATTTTTAATGTATAGTAGAATTCTAGGTTTACTATCACCTTTAATAGTTGATGTGTGCCAAGCTGGCCCAAATCAATTTTTTTTCATGCCAGAAAGGTGTGGATGCTGGGGCTGCTGTAGTAGACTGTAGGATAGGATTAGCTAGATAAGGTAAGTGGCACCATCTTCTGACGGCAGCAGAGAGAATGATTCTCATAATGCTGAGGAAAGATTTAGTCAGTTTTAGAGCATCCATACCAGTCAGGGGCAGTTTTGAACCTTAGTACTGGTATTCGTAAATACAAAGTTTCCTCTGGCTAAGGTGGAGATCATGACGATCAAACCAAATAATTTCCTTCCGCTTGCAAAAAAAAAAAAAGAGAATATAAATGAAATCTATGAGGCTTCTATCCTCTGAAGACTCTGTTTACAGTGAAACGCGTTAGGGCGGAGCCGAACAGGTCACATTGTCAAGCATGCTGGTGGAAATCCAGTGGTGCTTTCTTTGTTGTATGCCTGTGATTGTGTTCTTATTACCATAATAAAAGCCCTTGGTTTTAACATACTGTGCTATGGTGGTCTCTTCTTTAAACTCCTCTGTCCAGAGCACATTTACACAGGATGATGGCGAGATGGAGTGTCGGAATATTTTGTGCTGTGGGACAGCAAGGCGTTTCATGATCTCTATGTGGGATCAGTGTCTCTGGTCAGGAGTTTACCTTACATGTGAGTGGTGGAATTTCCTGGCACCGTCTATACCTGCGGCACTGAATGCTCTCCATCTCACACTTTGAAGTGTGTGTTCCTTTTCTTTAGGATTTTCCCTCTTGATTTTGCACTATTCACAAGGATATTTTACCCATCTGTACATACATTTTGCACATTTGTTTGCTTTATTCATCTTTATTATTTTTGTTAGCAATATTGAATGATATCTTTTTATTTATGCATGTTTATTTATAATTGTCCATATGTACATTTGTCCATCTGCATGTGGATTTATACCTTTTTATGTTTATTTTTATCTTGAGAGTGGAATACTGGTTTATATTATATCCACTTTAAAGTTTAAGTGCTTTTGAGCTTTTCATTGCCCATATATACATTTGTCCATCTGTGCGCATATATACTCTTTATCTGTTGTATATATGATGAGATATATATATGTTTCTCTTTATTTTGAAAGTAGAGTATGGTATTACACGTACCTTAATGTTTGAACGCTTTTAACATCATTTTATTTATATTTGGTTTTCAATTTTTATACATTTTTTTAAGGGTATTGCATGTATTGAGTTTACACTATTATTTTTTCCTTATAAAATAATATGGTTGTATTATATGCACAATTGCACTTTGGAGTTTTTAAGAGACAGCGCGCCCACTTTTTCTCCAAGTAGATCATGACGATACCTGACCGCCTCTCCACCTCATCCAGCTGCGGCCAGACTGCCCTGCATTGGAAATAATTCATTTGGGCTAGCTTGGACCAACTATTTAGGCTCCATACACACTAGCATTGTTTTAACCGCTTACCTACAGGGCACTTATACCCCCTTCCTGCCCAGGCCAATTTCCAGCTCTCAGTGCTGTCACATTTTGAATGACAATTGAGCGGTCATGCAACACTGTACCCATATGAAATGTTTATCATTTTTTTTGTGATAGAGTTTCTTTTGGTGGTATTTAATCACCTCTGGGTTTTTTATTTTTTCTTAAACAAACCAAAAACCACAGAAAATTTTGAAAAAATGTTTTTTCTTAGTTTTTGTTATAAAATTTTGTGAATAAGTGATTTTTCTCCTTCACTGATGTGCGCTAATGAGGCTGTAGTGATGGGCACTGATAAGATGCACTGATGGACACTGGTAGGTGGCACTGATGGGCATTGACAGGCATCACTGATATATGGCACTGATAGGCGGCACTGATGCGCAGTGATAGGCGGCACTGACTGGCACTGATAGGTGGCACTGATTGGCAGCGCTGATTGGCATTGATAGGTGGCACTGAAGGGCAGCTCAGATGGGCACTGATATGTGGCATTGATGTGCACTGGTAGGCACTGATAAGTGGCATTGATGTGGCACTGATGGGCACTGACAGCTGGCACTGATGGACACTGACAGGTGGCACTTCTGGGGCCACACTGATCATCAGGGCACACTGATCATCAGTACCCTGATGATCAGTGTACATGTCCCCTCTGTGGAATGCAGATTACCGGCTCTCCTCTCCGCTATCAGCGTGACAGCTCAAGAGGAGAGAAATGCCGATAACCGACATTTCCCAGTTTACATGTGATCAGCTGTGATTGGACACAGCTGATCATATGACCGAGCCAACATCTTCGGCTCTTTCCGTGGATCGGGTGATATGCTGTGTCCGAGGGACACAGAGCACCGCCGATTGCCACGCGCTCCCTGAGTCGCGCATGCGCGGTGAGAATGGAAGGCCGTCAAAAGACGGCCTATCAGAACGAGAGAACCACCTTGCGCCCATAGTTCAATGACGGGGGAGGTGGTTAAGCTCCTAGAAGCTATTAGCTTTTTTTCTGCTCCTAGAAGCTAAATAGTGTTCTCCTATGTGTCCATGCATGCTACTTTAGGCTATTAGCATTTTTTGAGCTTCAGCGTCTAGGAGCAGAAAAAAAAAGCTTTTATAGAGTTTTTTGGAGCTGAAAAAATGCTGAACGCTCCTAAATGCTACTAAATTGCTCCTAACAGCTTTTTCTACATGTACTGTAAAAATGCTAACAAAACGCTAACACTCCTAAACACCACTAGAACGCTACTAAAAAACCCTGTTACCTGCGTTTTTTATCCAATGTCTCTTCCAGCATTTTTTTTTTAAGCTTAAAAGAAAGCTAGTGTGCATGGAGCCTAAAAGTGAGAGTAAACCTGGAATTCTACCCTAAACCCAATCAATGATATTTCCTATTGCCTTTATCATGGTAATGATTCCAAAAATAGTTTTTAGTTATTTTACATCTGCAACTTTTAAATTAATGCCTGGTAATCCTGAATGAATTCTTGTTCAGGAACTTCCCACTAAGGGTGACAACTGTCTTTCTGCTGTGATCATGTGTTGTCACCCTGTTTTGTGCTCTGGGAGCTAAAAGAGGAGGTGGACGGGTAGACTGTAGCAGGGGAAGAGCACATTCATAGTCCTGTAGGGATATCTGGACGTGTGGAGATGGTGCAGGATGATGCAAAGCTGCAGGTTTGGTTTAGTTGTGCTGCAATTTAAATATATTGTATTATCAGCCATTCACAGAGCAGAAACTGTTTCCTCTCAGGGAACTGTTGACACAAGATCTCCTAGCAAAAAAAAGCTGCCATACTGCCAATCCAAGCCTGTAACTTGGGGCTCTATACCTATAATATAATAAAGCTAATCTCCAGACAAACAGAGATGAATACATATATCAGAGCCATTTTACCTGCCAAATAATTAGTATTTCTCTCCATACAGTCCTGAGAATAACACAGCTCTGCCCAAAAGCACAGCCCTGTCTACCTGGGAAGGAGACCTGAATTTTCTCTGCTGCAGTTTCACGTTCACTTAGAGGCCTCAACCCTCTGACTGGACAGTGAAAGGAGAAACAGCACACTGATTAGCTCATTATGCTGCTCCCTCCTCCTATCAGCATGCCCCTTACACTGCAACACACCTGATTGGCTCCTTGTGTTTCTTTTAACTCCCTCCTCTGGGCTCTGCTGTACAGCCTGTATAGAGGACTGCCTCTGGGCTCTGCTGTACAGCCTGTATAGAGGACTGCAAGAGGCTGATTCCAAGTCAAATTCAGGTGCTTGCTCTGTTATACTTTTATAAAATTAGATTTTTTTAATGCAAAGTGATATCAGAGCTGCATCAATTGCACTTTAAACAATGCTACATTTATTTTTCCATACTGCCCTTGGCTTGCTTATCCCTGACAATGGGGGAGATTTACTAGAACTAGAGCACTCAGAATCTGGTGCAGCTGTGCATGGTGGAGACCAGCCTTGAGTGGCGATTACTCTTCATTCAGCTGTGCATGGTACAGGTGGAGACCAGCCTTGAGCGGCGATTACCCTTCATTCAGCTGTGCATGGTACAGGTGGAGACCAGCCTTGAGCGGCGATTACTCTTCATCTGTGCATGGTACAGGTGCAGACCAGCCTTGAGCGGCGATTACTCTTCATTCAGCTGTGCATGGTACAGGTGGAGACCAGCCTTGAGCGGTGATTACTCTTCATTCAGCTATGCATGGTACAGGTGGAGATCAGCCTTGAGTGGTGATTACTCTTCATCTGTGCATGGTACAGGTGGAGACCAGCCTTGAGCGGCGATTACTCTTCATTCAGCTGTGCATGGTACAGGTGGAGACCAGCCTTGAGCGGCGATTACTCTTCATTCAGCTGTGCATGGTGCAGGTGGAGACCAGCCTTGAGCGGCGGTTACTCTTCATTCAGCTGTGCATGGTGCAGGTGGAGACCAGCTTTGAGCGGCGATTACTCTTCATTCAGCTGTGCATGGTACAGGTGGAGACCAGCCTTGAGCGGCGGTTACTCCTTGAGCGGCGGTTACTCTTCATTCAGCTGCGCATGGTGCAGGTGGAGACCAGCCTTGAGCGGCGGTTACTCCTTGAGCGGCGGTTACTCTTCATTCAGCTGCGCATGGTACAGGTGGAAACCAGCCTTGAGCGGCGATTACTCTTCATTCAGCTGTGCATGGTACAGGTGGAGACCAGCCTTGAGCGGCGATTACCCTTCATTCAGCTGTGCATGGTACAGGTGGAGACCAGCCTTGAGCGGCGATTACTTTTCATCTGTGCATGGTACAGGTGGAGACCAGCCTTGAGCGGCGATTACTCTTCATTCAGCTGTGCATGGTACAGGTGGAGACCAGCCTTGAGCGGTGATTACTCTTCATTGCTATGCATGGTACAGGTGGAGATCAGCCTTGAGTGGTGATTACTCTTCATCTGTGCATGGTACAGGTGGAGACCAGCCTTGAGCGGCGATTACTCTTCATTCAGCTGTGCATGGGCAGGTGGAGACCAGCCTTGAGCGGCGGTTACTCTTCATTCAGCTGTGCATGGTGCAGGTGGAGACCAGCCTTGAGCGGCGGTTACTCTTCATTCAGCTGTGCATGGTGCAGGTGGAGACCAGCTTTGAGCGGCGATTACTCTTCATTCAGCTGTGCATGGTACAGGTGGAGACCAGCCTTGAGCGGCGGTTACTCCTTGAGCGGCGGTTACTCTTCATTCAGCTGCGCATGGTGCAGGTGGAGACCAGCCTTGAGCGGCGGTTACTCCTTGAGCGGCGGTTACTCTTCATTCAGCTGCGCATGGTACAGGTGGAAACCAGCCTTGAGCGGCGATTACTCTTCATTCAGCTGTGCATGGTACAGGTGGAGACCAGCCTTGAGCGGCGATTACTCTTCATTCAGCTGTGCATAGTACAGGTGGAGACCAGCCTTGAGCGGCGATTACTCTTCATTCAGCTGTGCATGGTACAGGTGGAGACCAGCCTTGAGGGGCGATTACTCTTCATTCAGCTGTGCATGGTGCAGGTGGAGACCAGCCTTGAGCGGCGATTACTCTTCATTCAGCTGTGCATGGTACAGGTGGAGACCAGCCTTGAGCGGCGATTACTCTTCATTCAGCTGTGCATGGTACAGGTGGAGACCAGCCTTGAGCGGCGGTTACTCTTCATTCAGCTGTGCATGGTACAGGTGGAGACCAGCCTTGAGCGGCGGTTACTCTTCATTCAGCTGTGCATGGTACAGGTGGAGACCAGCCTTGAGCGGCGGTTACTCTTCATTCAGCTGTGCATGGTACAGGTGGAGACCAGCCTTGAGCGGCCATTACTCTTCATTCAGCTGTGCATGGTACAGGTGCAGACCAGCCTTGAGCGGCGATTACTCTTCATTCAGCTGTGCATGGTACAGGTGGAGACCAGCCTTGAGCGGTGATTACTCTTCATTCAGCTATGCATGGTACAGGTGGAGATCAGCCTTGAGTGGTGATTACTCTTCATCTGTGCATGGTACAGGTGGAGACCAGCCTTGAGCGGCGATTACTCTTCATTCAGCTGTGCATGGTACAGGTGGAGACCAGCCTTGAGCGGCGGTTACTCTTCATTCAGCTGTGCATGGTGCAGGTGGAGACCAGCCTTGAGCGGCGGTTACTCTTCATTCAGCTGTGCATGGTGCAGGTGGAGACCAGCTTTGAGTGGTGATTACTCTTCATTCAGCTGTGCATGTACAGGTGGAGACCAGCCTTAAGCGGCGGTTACTCCTTGAGCGGCGCGGTTACTCTTCATTCAGCTGCGCATGGTGCAGGTGGAGACCAGCCTTGAGCGGCGGTTACTCCTTGAGCGGCGGTTACTCTCTTCATTCAGCTGCGCATGGTACAGGTGGAAACCAGCCTTGAGCGGCGATTACTCTTCATTCAGCTGTGCATGGTACAGGTGGAGACCAGCCTTGAGCGGCGATTACCCTTCATTCAGCTGTGCATGGTACAGGTGGAGACCAGCCTTGAGCGGCGATTACTCTTCATCTGTGCATGGTACAGGTGGAGACCAGCCTTGAGCGGCGATTACTCTTCATTCAGCTGTGCATGGTACAGGTGGAGACCAGCCTTGAGCGGTGATTACTCTTCATTCAGCTATGCATGGTACAGGTGGAGATCAGCCTTGAGTGGTGATTACTCTTCATCTGTGCATGGTACAGGTGGAGACCAGCCTTGAGCGGCGATTACTCTTCATTCAGCTGTGCATGGTACAGGTGGAGACCAGCCTTGAGCGGCGGTTACTCTTCATTCAGCTGTGCATGGTGCAGGTGGAGACCAGCCTTGAGCGGCGGTTACTCTTCATTCAGCTGTGCATGGTGCAGGTGGAGACCAGCTTTGAGCGGCGATTACTCTTCATTCAGCTGTGCATGGTACAGGTGGAGACCAGCCTTGAGCGGCGGTTACTCCTTGAGCGGCGGTTACTCTTCATTCAGCTGCGCATGGTGCAGGTGGAGACCAGCCTTGAGCGGCGGTTACTCCTTGAGCGGCGGTTACTCTTCATTCAGCTGCGCATGGTACAGGTGGAAACCAGCCTTGAGCGGCGATTACTCTTCATTCAGCTGTGCATGGTACAGGTGGAGACCAGCCTTGAGCGGCGATTACTCTTCATTCAGCTGTGCATGGTACAGGTGGAGACCAGCCTTGAGCGGCGATTACTCTTCATTCAGCTGTGCATGGTACAGGTGGAGACCAGCCTTGAGGAGCGATTACTCTTCATTCAGCTGTGCATGGTGCAGGTGGAGACCAGCCTTGAGCGGCGATTACTCTTCATTCAGCTGT